ATTTTTTCATTCAAATGAAAATTGATTTTTTTCAAAACGGAAAAAGGATTTTAGTTACCATTCCCCACTATAGGGACGATCGTGAAGATTTTCCTGATTTTCTCTGTTTTTTACGATTTATCTCAGGTTTGTTGCTCAACTATAAGTACCAGCACATCATTTTGATCGCCTTCAAATTTTCTTTCAAATAATATGACAAAAAATATAAAAAAATTCGTTGAATAATTAACCAAAACCTAATGGAAGATCAATTTTCATTTGAATGAAAAAATATTTTTAACGATAAAAATAAGAATAGTTTTTAAGTTGTTTTAAACCTAATTAGACTATGTACAATTTGAATCTAAAAATTATTTTTAAATATCTTGGCTAGAAAAAAAGTTATTGCGATTCAGAGTCCGTAACGCTTTTTAGAAACACACTGTATACTGGCCATAGCCATAAAAAATTAAATAAACCTTATAAGTTATTTCGAAGTGATAAATTGATGCTACTTTGATATATGATAATATTGATAAAATTACCAGAAATTAAATAACATCAGTCTAAAGATTAAACATTGAAGTTTTTATGAGAGACATAATTCCATTTTCTGATGAGTAGGTCACTTTTGGGACAATATTTTTCATCAAGCGATTAAAATAATGCTTATCAAATGTTTTCAGCTTATTATTTATTCTTGCTATGAGTTCATCTTGGTTTTTTGCCTTCCATCCGTTAGCGTAGACTTTGGCCTTAAGATGAGAAAAAAAGTTTCAATTGGCCTCAACATAGGGACTGCGGATGGTTTTTCGAGCTTATTGACACATGCGATGCCAGCGCTATCTAGAACTTCTAAAGTTCGCTTTGCGTAATGAGAAGAGGCATTCTTTCGTTTTGACGCTCGACTTGTTGGTCACTCACTTTAGGTATTGTACGTCGAGCTCGAACTTTGATATTATTATCAGATAGAATTTTTTCTGCTGTTTTATCTGGTACCTTAATTGCCCGACCAATAGCACTATAACCATGAAAAATTTTATTTTCCGTCATTTTGATTATTTTGTTTAATTCTCGACGGTTAACGACGATTTTTGGCCTTTCAAGGTTAGAGTTCAGGTCATTTTCCTTTTTTAACCATAATTTGTTAAAGTAGTTTTAGGCCGTTGATTTTTTGGCACCAAATTCACGGAATTTACTAATTCATTTCTATTTTTTGATTCACAATTATCAAAATAATAAGTTGAACACACTTTTCTTGAACTACTCTGGTCCATGGCTAATAATTTACTAACTTTTTGTGTTAATCCTTTCAAATTTTGTCTAGACATCGATCACATTGTTGTTAATTTATAAAAAACCGTTACAATTGAATCAAACGTTTTCGAGAAATCAATGATCAAATTAAGAGTCCAACCTTTTTCTCTTTTTTTTCTCAAATCGATTTTTTAATCTCATTCTCTATTTCAATTATAATTATGGTTTTAAACCAATTGATATTTGAATAACAGTTTTAATCAAATAAAACAGTTTGATTGTTTAAGGAAAAATAAGGAAAAGCAGTTAATTACCAGAAAAAGATAAGTAATAACAATAATCAGTTGATTGTTGGGTTGATAAATAAACTCCTACATTATTTTACTCTTACCCTGTTGATTGTTGTAATTCGTAAACTGTCTATAAATACAATAGGTTACCGCATTTCCCCGTAATTATCACCAGCGCTTATAATTAAGAAAAACTCGGCTTCAAGTCCCTTTTGACACTATTGGGTATGCATGGCTTGGAGATGAATTCTCAGCCTAAACGCTTAAGATTCACAAAGAAGCTCTTTTTTTTGTCATCAACTGAATATAAAACCATACGTTTGAAGATAAAAATTATCCACTTAAAGGGCTTTTCAATTAACTGAGAAACCGAATTAAACTTGGTGAATGTTGGTTAAATATCAGCTCGTTGGATAATTGTCAGCTGATTGCGAAAAATAACCGAGCTTTACCTTTTCCATTAACTTTTTGCCGTAGCTTCCACTGAGCTTTTCAAATAACCAACAAGTAGTCTAATCGTAGTGATGATTAGATAATCTTATCTAAAAAACTCACCATAACTCAGATTAAACATACAGTCGTGAAAAATGAGTTTCGAATGGTTTTTAATCATTCGCGCAGGTAGTGACTAAAATTAATAGATTAAACAATCAAGATAAGAAAAATCAATGAGTAAATCATCTAAGTCTTATCACTGATGATAAAGATTATCAATTGATTTTAGTAGCTAAGTTGCGCGAATGATTAAAAACCATTCGAAACTCATTTTTCATGACTGTATTGATGGAAAAATAGATGAATGGAAAAGCCCTTTAGATTGCTATCTAATCAATTGGATCTTTTTCTAGTTTGAATCTAATTTAAAACTTCACGATCAATTGAAGAGTTTACAATCAACTCAGCTGCTAATTTACATATCAGATATGATAAAGAGTAATAAGTTTTTTTTCTTGGATATGATTTACTTTTTTAAATTACTATTATTTCTACTATTATTACTTTACAAAGTTATTAGCAACAATATAAAATGTAACTGTTAATTGTTTACGTAGAAATCATAACTAAATCTTGTTTATTTATCAATATCTATGATTCAATTAATTTACCAAATTAAAACGACGCAATAGTAAACAGAAGGCTTTCTGGTTCAATATTTGAGTCTTCATGTTAATTGTGCCCTTTCAAAGCAATTCAGCTGCAATTAGGTTCAATTCAATTGAATTTTTTTTTCATATAAATTGTAGACGTTGGTTGATTTTGCATTAATTCAACTTAAAATAGTTACAGGTAACAGTAAATGATCAACAATGAATCTTTCAACTAGACAAAGGAGAGTTTTAAACTTTTTCTTTTTAATCAATTTTACTCTAATTGCGATTTCGCAAATTGTATTGTATTGTCTGATTTCACCATTGAAATTAGTTTCATATTCATGTTTTATTAAATTGGACAAAATTTTTATTGGTTTGTTTGCCAGAATCATCGGTCCTTGGTTGACTTTACTGGTATACAAAGTGAAAGGTGAGTGATAACTTTTTTGGTTTTTTAGTAAATTTGATAAAATTTGCAGCTTCGTTTTCAAAATTGTCACTACTTGGCTATCATTAGTTGACCCGAAAAGTAAGTGATAACTTTTTTGATTCAATAATATAATTATTACCAATTGTTTCTTAGATTATCGGTTGGGTCCTGATCCAAATGAAATAATTGATTTAGCATCTCCATCAGTCAAGATACTAATTGTCTGTAACCATCAAACGGTCATGGATGCTGTTATAATGTACTTTGGATGCCTCGATAATAAGTTTGTAAAATTCGTCCTTGTTTGGAGTAAATATTATCGATTTAGGATAAATGGACTAATTCATAAAATACGAAATGATTTCGGCATTGATTCGAGTTTCAAGAAAGGCGATTTCGTTGAATACTGGGAGTTGACCTCGAGAAATTACAATACTGTTCTTCTTTGCCCGGAAGGTATTTATAAATGATAATGACTAATTTAATTCGATTTAAACGGCTAATTTGATTCGTTTGACCATTTTTCAAGGTGCATTTCGAAATGTTTACTTGGAATCAAGTTTCAGATATGCTGAGAAAAATGGTTTACCCCAATTGACCAGAACTGTTTGGCCTCGAACGCGTGCTTTTCTCGATATTGTTGATAAAAGAAATGGTTTCACTTATATTATTGATACTACTATAATATATGATAATATCGATAAACTTACCAGAAATTTGTTTCTTCATACAGAGCAGTTAATGGGCAGTTCTTTCTATTCTGTGATCAGAGTATTCGAGATCATTGATGACGATAAAAGTGAGACAATCAACGATTATGACCAAATAGTCAACGATTTTAATAAAATACAATCATTAGAAACAGTTGAACAATCAGATTGTGTTTACAGAGTACCAAGAAGTAAATTAAACGAATCGTGGTTACAACAATTATGGTTAAGTAAAGACTCGATGATGAATTCATTTTACCAAGACAAGGACAATTTCGTTGGCAAATTCAAGCCTAATTGTTACAACCAAATCAATTTATTTCATATCATGGATTTCTTACTTGCCAATTCAGTTTACATCCCAATGGGATCAACAATAATCTACCTCGTTTATTTATCAATCGCTGCGATTTTCAAGCTTTTTATTTGATGAATCCATCAAACTTACCAATCAAGAGAGATTATGAAATAGTTAATTGTTGACTGCGATCCTGAGAGTTTAATTGAATAAATGTATGGTTTTTGTGGCTACGAATTAGTTTGATAAATTGTTGATCGAATCTGTTAATTGTTTCAATCATATTCATTATATCAAACAAATTGATCTTTTTCCATATTAATCAACATTGTTACATTTGAGCTTATTGATTAATCAACTTGTAACTTGATATTAAGCTTTAGTATTAATCATCAACCTATAAATTGTTACACGTATTAAAAATAATAATTAATTGTGATCAACAATTTTTGTACTTTCATTTGGTTTCACTTTAATCAACTAATCATAATAATGACACTTTTAATTAACGGTAAAATGATACCTCTTGTTTGACAAGCATGTATAGTTAATTAATTAATAGTATTTTAAAAAATAGATGAATGGAAAAGCTCTTTAAATTGCTATCTAATCAATTGGATCTTTTTCTAGTTTGAATCTAATTTAAAACTTCACGATCAATTGAAGAGTTTGCAATCAACTCAGCTGCTAATTTACATATCAGATATGATAAAGAGTAATGAGTTGTTTTTCTTGGATATGATTTACTTTTTTAAATTGCTATTATTTACCTTTACAAAGTTATTAGCAACAATAGACAATTGAAAATGTAACTGTTAATTGCTTACGCAGAAATCATAACTAATTCTTGTTTATTTATCAATATCTATGATTCAATTAATTTACCAAATTAAAACGACGCAATAGTAAACAGAAGGCTTTCTGGTTCAGTATTTGAGTCTTCATGTTAATTGTGCCCTTTCAAAGCAATTCAGCTGCAATTAGGTTCAATTCAATTGAATTTTTTTTCATATAAATTGTAGACGTTGGTTGATTTTGCATTAATTCAACTTAAAATAGCTACAGGTAACAGTAAATGATCAACAATGAATCTTTCAACTAGACAAAGGAGAGTTTTACACTTTTTCTGTTTAATCAATTTAACTCTAACTGCGATTTCGCTAATTGTATTGTATTGTCTGATTTCACCATTAAAATTAGTTTCATATTCATGTTTTACTAAATTGGACAAAATTTTCTTAGCTTCGCTTGTCAAAATTATCAGTGTTTGGTTGACGTTATGCTATAAAGGTAAGTAACTTTTTTGATTTTTATAATAAATTAATTTTCATTTGGTTATTAGGTTATCGGTTGGGTCCTGATCCAAATGAAATAATTGATTTATCATCCATAAAAGTATTGTTTATTTCTAACCATCAAACAATCATGGATTCTCTTATTTTGCATTCAATATTTCTCGATAATAAGTTTGTAAAATTTGTCATTGTTTGGAGTAAAGAGCATCAATTTAGACCTAATGGACTAATTTATAAAATACGAAATGATTTCGGCGTTGATTCGAGTTTCAAGAAAGGTGATTTCGTTGAATACTGGGCGCTGAACTCGAGAAATTACAATACTGTTGTTCTTTGCCCGGAAGGTATTTATTACTAATTGTTCATTGATTCCTATTTAAATGGTTTATTTGATTCAAATTTGTTTTAAGGTGGATTTCGAAGTGATGAATTGAAATCGAGTTTCAGATATGCTGAGAAAAATGGTTTACCCCAATTGACCAGAACTGTTTGGCCTCGAACGCGTGCTTTTCTCGATATTGTTGATAAAAGAAATGGTTTCACTCATATTATTGATGCTACTATAATATATGATAATATCGATAAACTTACCAGAAATTTATTTCTTCATACAGAGCAGTTAATGGGCAGTTCTTTCTATTCTGTGATCAGAGTATTCGAGATCATTGATGACGATAAAAGCGAGACAATCAACGATTATGACCAAATAGTCAACGATTTTAATAAAATACAATCATTAGAAACAGTTGAACAATCAGATTGTGTTTACAGAGTACCAAGAAGTAAATTAAACGAATCGTGGTTACAACAATTATGGTTAAGTAAAGACTCGATGATGAATTCATTTTACCAAGACAAGGACAATTTCGTTGGCAAATTCAAGCCTAATTGTTACAACCAAATCAATTTATTTCATATCATGAATTATTTACTTGCCAATTCAGTTTACATCCCAATGGGATCAACAATAATCTACCTCGTTTATTTATCAATCGCTACGATTTTCAAGATTTTAATTTGACGAATTCATCAAAATCACCAATCAAGAGAAATTATGAAATATTTAATTGTTGACTGCGATCATTAGAGTTTAATTGATTAAATGTACGGTTTTTTGTGGCTACGAATTAGTTTGATAAATTGTTGATCGAATCTGTTAATTGTTTCAATCATATTCATTCTATCAAACAAATTGATCTTTTTCCATATTAATAAACATTGTTACATTTGAGCTTATTGATTAATCGACTTGTAACTTGATATTAAGCTTTAGTATTTGAACAATTAATAAATTGTATTCATTAATCATCAACCTATAAATTGTTACACGTATTAAAAATAATAGTTAATTGTGATCAACAATTTTTGTACTTTCATTTGGTTTTACTTTAATCAACTAATCATAATAATGACACTTTTAATTAACGGTAAATGATACCTCTTGTTTGACAAGCATGTATAGTTAATTAGTTAAAAACAAAACTAAATTGTCAACATGATTAACCAAGCAAAAGTTTGGTTAATGTTGACAATTTATTAATTGTGACAACATAATAATAATATTTTTTTACTATAACTTTCAAATTGTAAGTTCAATTGTTTTTCATTGAAGTTGACAAGTTGATTATGATTAAAGAAAACAAGTCAACAATTAATTTGATCATAATATTAGTCTGATTTATTTGTGACACGATTAGTTAATTGTTGTCTTATTATTTATGCGATTTGATGAGCACAATTTATTTCCAAATGTTTAAACTAAACTTGTAATCAGTTGACCGCTGGTCAATTGTGATACTTTTTTATAGTAAGATTTATCATCACAATCAACGGAGGATAAAATTTCACTTTTAATTGTTACCGTTAATTGTTCACAAATTTTGGCTAAAATAATGATACAGTTAAGGTCAAGTTGTTGGTCAATTTAATGAATAAATTTGTACAACAATCAACTAATTATTATCGTTATTTAATCAATGGTTCCAACACTTAAGTTGACAATTAATTGCTATTAATTTGAATAATATGTTAAGTTGATTGTTATCATTAAAATTAATCTAATGAATTAGTTTATTCTTAACAATTAAAAGGTAAGTGATAATCATCAGTAAATTGTTGTAAATATAAAATTTATTAATAAACAATGAATGTTATGAATGATGATTAAGATAATTGATTTGAAATGTAAATTGTTTTCAATTGTAATTGTAGTTTTTAACCAAATTGATATTTGATTAAGGTTGTTAATCAAATAAAACAGTTTGATTGTTTAAGGAAAAACAAGAAAAAGTTTAAATTGTAGTTAATTATCAGAAAAAAACAGGTAACAACAATGAGACAATGAAAAATGATCAATCTTTATGTAATCAGTTGATTGTTGGGTTAACAAATAAACTCCTACATTGTATTTTTCTTACTCTTACCATGTTGATTGTTGTAATTTGTAAATTGTTGATAAATGCAATAGGTTAATCTGAGTAACAAGAGAAACAAAAAAAAATGTAATTATGATTAGACAGTGATTAGGTTCTGATGATTAAGGAGATGATCAAGTTTTAAGTATGTCAGACAAGATGAAAGTCAAGGTAAAGTCATTGAAGGTGGTTTATGATGAAGGTGCGGAGGAAGATGAAGATAATGATAAGGTGAATAATGAAGATGGGGAGGAGGTGAAGGTGGAGGAGGAGATGATGATAAAGGTGATGAGGAGGTAAATGGCCATAGGGATAAACCAGATTGACCGGATTCCATTGTTGATATTGGTACAGAAGCACAGAGAGAGAGAGAGATAATTGAAGATGAGGATGGAGATGAACTAAGTGAGAGTGGAAACAATTGCTGAGGTTCAAGGAGATAGTTCATCGGATGATTATGGTTTTTTCATCTCTCTCACTCTCTATCATCATGTTGCTCTGGTTGAGTGAAAAAACAACAACATGATTGAGCTACAAATTGTTAGGATGATGTTGATATAATTGATGTAGATGATGATGAGAGAGTCAAGTGAATCAATTTTGTCAGTTTGATGGTTTTTTTTACTTGAATCAAATTGGTTGTTGATGATCAACATGAGATGATGATAATGATGTTGATTGTTGTGTATCTTTGCAAGTTTTTGATAGAAATCATTTTATTGGATTAACAATTTCATCGCTTCAAATGATTATATAATAATGGAAATGATTACAAAATAATCAACCCATGATTCCGGTTGAACAAGATGAAAATTTCTGGTTCTCCCTTGGTTAAGACTTTGAGGTTTATCACCTTACGATTATAACAATCAACAAACTGAACAACACCAACAATTTAACTCTAATTGTAATGATTTAAGTGTTAAACAATAGGGATGATTGTCATTCGGTAAGATTTGATTGAAACAATCAACGAATCGATTGGAAAAAATCAAAAAAGTTTTCTGTTTATTTGGTGATGATGATTGTTACCATTGAATGGATCAGTCATTCAATTACAATTCTGGGTGATAATCATGATGATGATTAAGTTGATTGTAAAATTTCAATTACTGGTTAACACCAAATTCAAACAATTTAATACAATACCTGGAGCCACACCTTTGAAATCAGGAACGTAATTGAATCTTTATGATCAAATTATCAATATTAATTTGATTCTTTCATTAATAATATTTGACCTGATTAACTTTTCTTATTGATTAGTATTGATATTATAACCAATACGATGATCTAAATTGTTACAGGTTGAATATGATTAAATTTCAAGCAATTAAATCAATTGACAAGTGAAAGTGAACATACAATTGATTAAATAAAACAATTAAACAAAAATTTAGTTCAAATCCTTTTTCATTATTTTGATAATTGGTTAACCAATTTAATCATTTCTCATTTTTGATAGTTTAGTTGATTGTCCGGTTGATTGTCATGATGAAACAATTTACTTGATCCTAATGAAATATTGTCATATTAATAGTAACTGACAGTTGAGTTGATCATTAACTTTGATCATTAAAATGTATCAACAATTAACTTGAAATCTTAAATTGTCCAGCAAGGAAAAGTAAAGTAAATATCATTACGATTTCTTAATTGTTCATCAAAATCATGACTGATTAATCAACCAGAATGATTAAGAAATTTTGTTTAATCATGTTTGTATCATTGAAAATTAAACCAACAATTAAAATAACTATTATTATTGATACTTAATGGTTTAAATATAATAATAATCATCTTCAAATACAACATCAACAATTAAACAACAAGTAAACTAAATTAACTAATAGAGTCAACAACAAGTATTATGATAATGGTAAACAGAATTGAATTAAATCCTTGAAGCAACAAACTGAATCAAATTTAATTGTTTAATTGAATTTTCCTATTAAATTGTAAGCCAATGATCGTTTTAATCAAATTGTCAAATTAAATGGTTGACAGATTATCAGTCTTAGGTGTTGATACATATTATTATCCCTACAATTGAAATAACATCTTAATCAAATAAATTTTTTTTTCCATACATCAATTGTTACCTATTTTATTAATTGTAACAATTAGATAAATAAACATTGAGTTGTAACATAAAAAAGTCTACCTGTTGTCTAATGACAAGGTAACAATATATAAGTTAATCAAAAGTTTTACAGTCGATGAAAAAGTTTACAACGACAGTAATTAAAGAGACACAGACTGTATACCTGTGAAGATGAAGATGAAGATGAAGATGATAACAATAATAAAAAAGTTCTAGTTCTTAATCAAGGTAAATTGAATTTTCAATTGGATGGTTGGAGTAACTTTAATTCTAAGTTACATTGACAACTTCATCTGTTGGAAATTCAATTTTTACCTGTTGATATATTTTAGAATAGAAAACTTTTTTTTTCTCTTCTTCTTTTTTGGTCGTTTTCTATTCTTTTTCAGCATCGATGTGTGAGGCTCTAATTTAGAAAAGGTAATAACTTTATCTCTCTTTACAAATGATAATAATAGTATATCAGGTAAGAGAATTAGAGTTGGACAGTGTTCGAGGGTGGAGGTGGGAAGTGGTCGGTCCATTGAGAGGAAAAGGTTTTACTCTCTCTCTCTCTCTCTCTCTCTCTCTCTCTTTCTTTCTTTGGTCTACCTGGTAATTTAATAACAATTAGAGTGAACTTAGAGTGGGAAAAATATTATCAATTGATAGGGATTGTAGTAGATGGACTATTAAAATATATATATATTAGTTTTGCTTGCTTCTTGCCGCTGGTCAAGCAAGTGGACACACAAGGCTACCTGGTGAAAGGTAATAATGTTTATTTTGGTCATACTTTAATTGTATTGTGTTGATGGAGGAGGAGGATGAGAAGGATGATCAAGATTGTTGATTATTTATCTTGAACATTTTTTTCCTTCTCAATTATTTTGATGATGGTCAGTTCGGGTCAGTTTAATTTAATTGTTTCCTTTTGCAGTTGATTGTTTGTTTGTTGTTGATTGAATTTAAGTTTTCTTTGTCCAATCTCTCCCTTTCTCTCTCTTTCTCTTTATTTGATCAGTAAATTACTTCAACTTGATATAATTAACTGAAGTAAAGAGAAGGTAAAAGTAAAAAAGTTCTAATAATGAATTCGAAAAAAAAAATTCAGAGATCGATAACCAATAGAAACTTTTTTCTCCAAAATCAGAGAAAAGAAAAGAAATAATTGATATATGAAATTTTCTTTTCCAACCAAATCGATGGTTAAAGTTGTTGGAGAAAAAAGTTCTATACTGAGTAAATGCTATCGAAAGCAAGACAAATGAAATTGTTGAAAACAAAAAAAAAAAAACAAATAGTAGATCTTTTCTTCAATAGATGGAAGTGATAACCTGTTGGAAAGAAAAAAATATTAGCGAACTGCACTTGCGCAAGAGAGAAGAGAACATTTTTCTTCTATTCTCTTTTCCTTTATTATCTTTCAGTTTCTCGTTTTTCAAGTTTAGTTTTGGTCTTGACTCTTTATACTTTGCGTCATTTTTTGTGTTCCATTCTCTCTCTCTCTCAGTGTAGTTGAAAATGAAAATATACACAGTGTTTAGACTTTTTAACTAAAAGGTGATGTGATGTTAAAAGTGTCCATTGTATCCATTTGGTGATTTTCTCTTTTCGGTGATCTAAATTTTTGTGTTTTCTTTTCTTTTTGTTTTCAAATGGACACCATGATAATAACTAACTTGAAACTAGAAGAGAGTGAATAGATTTTTATAATATTATGTACCATGCAATCCATTAACTATTTACTATTGTTGTTATTACTCTTTTGGACCAACAATCTTGGATTAATTGTTGTTAAAGTTGTTGATTGTTATTCATCATCTTCATCATCTATTTTACCATCATCTTTATCTCCATCTTCCGAGCTGATTCAAGATGGTAATCGACCATTGGAAAGTATTGATCTTTCTTTCAATGGGATGTCTTCTGTTCCTGATGAGCTTTTCTGCCAACTTTCCAACTTAGCTGTCATCAATCTTTCCAATAATTTGTTCACCGATGTAGTATCCATTGGATTTTCATCTTCTGTTAAACGTTCATCTTCATCTTCATCTAAAAACAATAACAATAATAATAATAATAATGGTAGTGGTCAAAACTCTAGTTGGTCCCATTGTTCAGTTAATTCTACAAGCCAATTGGATTTATCTTACAATCGTCTCAAAGTTTTAACTGATCGAGGCTTTTCTACCTTGACACATCTTAAGGTTCTTCGGCTTAATAATAATCGTATCTCACGAGCAGAAGAATCTTCTCTTAATGGACTCAGTGAATTAGCCTTACTTGATCTGTCCAATAACGAGCTTGTTGCCCTTCCACCAGGATTTTTTACCCCAATTAAAAGTTCACTTCGTGAATTATACCTTCAAAATAACAGTATTTCTGTATTACCACCACTTCAATTCAATGGACTCCAATGGATTCATATACTTAATATGAGCCACAATGAGATAGCCAACAATTGGATTAATGTTGACACTTTTGCTGATCTTACCTCTTTAGTGACTCTTGATTTAAGTTACAATCAATTAAATAAGATTGATTCAACAACCTTTAGAGCTCAAACCCGCCTTGAAGCTTTATATCTCCATCACAATAAGATTGAAAGTATTGCTGATAATGCATTCTCATCTTTAAATAATCTTCAACAACTAGTCCTTAGTTATAATCATCTAAACAAATTGGACTCAGCAGAATGTTTTACTGGTCTCAAAAAGCTACCAAGTTTACATCTTGACCATAATCGAATTGAACAAATTCATAATGAAATATTTCGTAATCTAACAAGCTTAATGGATCTTAATTTATCTCACAATTGGTTAAAGAAAACTGTTCCAGGAGCCATGTTATGGACACACTCATTACGAAATTTAGATTTATCTTATAATTCAATAAGTGAAATTGGTAACGCATCATATCAAGGTAATGCTCAACTGTACAGTCTTGATTTGGAAGGTAATCAAATTGGTAACCTTTCACGTGGTGTTTTTGCCGATCTACCTTTTCTACGGATCATCAATTTGGCCGCTAATCGAATTGAAGCGATAGAAGAGTCTACATTCATCGATGTTCCAGATCTTCATGTACTTCGTCTTGATTCAAATAGTTTATCCAATATAAATGAACTTTTCAATGGTTTAAGAGATTTACTGATGCTCAACATATCAGCAAACAAGATTGCCTGGTTTGATTATGCTCACGTTCCTTATGGTTTACAGTGGTTAGATATACACGATAATCTAATTGACAGTTTAGAAAATCTCTATGAACTTCAATCGTCACTTCGTTTAAAAACTCTTGATGCATCTTTTAATAAGATAACTCACCTTTCCAAAGCATCTTTACCCAATGGTATTGAAGTGATCTTACTTAATAATAATTTAATCAACCGTATCGACCCATCAACCTTTTTGGGTAAACAAAATTTAACTCGAGTTGATCTAACCAGTAATCGACTTAACACTTTACATCAAAATGCTCTACGTTTAAGTAAAGTCGCTTTACGTCGACCATTACCTGAATTTAATATATCGAAAAATCCATTCAGGTGTGATTGTAACATTGAATGGTTACAAAAGATGATCACCACAGATGAATCTCGACAATATCCTAAAATTGTTGATGTTAATCATATAATGTGTGACTTTGCTTTCAAGAAGAAAGTATCTCCCATGCCATTAGTTCAAGCTGATTCATCAAATTTCTTGTGTACTTATAAGAGCCATTGTTTTGCTTTATGCCATTGTTGTGATTTTGATGCTTGTGACTGTGAAATGATGTGTCCAGAAAATTGTGTTTGTTACTACGATCAAGCTTGGAATACCAATAGTGTTGATTGTAGTGCCAATGGTCATACAGTGGTACCACCAAGGATACCAATGGATGCAACTGAGCTTCACCTAGACGGTAATGACATTCCATCTCTCTCTAGCCACACCTTTATTGGCCGTAAATATATGAAAATCCTCCACCTAAACAATAGTAACATCTACACCATCAACAACCGCACCTTCAATGGCCTCATAGCCCTTGAGGTTTTGAACTTATCTCACAATCGGCTAATTACCCTCCATGGATATGAATTTGAACGCCTTGTTAATTTAACAGAATTATACCTTGATCATAATCGAATCTCAACTATTGCCAACAATACCTTTGCTGCCTTGACTTTATTACAAATTCTCCACATTGATCACAATTACATCGTTGATTTTGAAATCTGGAATTTCAATCTTAATTCACACCTGATGACCATTAAAATGGCCGCAAATCCATGGTCATGTGAGTGTCACTATATTGAGCCCGCTCTTGATTGGGTTCATTCAAAGGTTCATCTTATTTCCGATGCCAGGTACATGGAATGTTATTATAATGAAACTTCAGGTATTCCATTACTGCCCAAATTTAACATCTCATCGTGCACCAATCTTTCAGCACGTAAGATGTTAGCTCAAAGGTTCCAAGTTGAAAACTTTGTCCCGATATTTGTTATCAGTGGAGCACTTTTGGTTATAATTGTTGTCATTTTCATTGTGATTCTCATAATTAACTTCTTCTTCAAGGGTGAAAGCTCTAGGGCTCATCATGCAAGTCCTGAAACAATACACAAACATCTTAATCCACTTGCACATACTCATTCACTCATCCACACCACAAGAGGAAGTGTTTTCAACGATGATCTTCGAAATGTGAGAAACGAATGGAGAAAATGTTGAGATTTTTCTAAGTCAAGTTCATACAATTATATAATATAAATAAGAGTGTAAATAATCGTGTAAATAACCAGAACAAAAATGATCACATCAATACAGCAAAAGAATCAGAAGGAGCTCGAAATTTGGTCATGAAATAACTTTTGTGCAGATAAACGATAAGCCGAATGATGTATTTTCTGTTAACATGAGTTGTAAACAAAGAAAACTCTAAATCTACATACCGATTGGATGGCTATTTTTTCATCAACAAGACGTACAAAGAGTGTTTTTTATATCCATTGAAATTTATCTTCAAAAGATCAAAATAGTTTATATTAATTTCCAGTTCATACAATCTCATGTTAATGGAGAAAATATCATCTACTGTTGTTTCAAGCTCATCAGTCCACAGTCTTCATGTAGACTCAAGTTTCAAGTTCAGAGGATTTTCAATCACTTGTGCTGTGCATCTCTCACCTCCTTTAATTTATCTCTCAATCACCAAGATTAGGAAAAAAGTCTGACTGGAGGAGATACCTTCTTTTCCAATATCATCATCACCATCATCAATTTCACAACAACATCAACAGAAAAAAAAACCAGATTGTATGGAGAAAAAAAGAGCAAAAAGGAACATCAGACAAAAATGTGTCTCTTTCACAAGAAGGAGATGAAAGAAAAGCTAAAAGGAAAAAGAAGCCAGAAGAAAATCTGATAACCATCACAGGTCCTCATCAATAATATCTGGTCTCCAGATCTTCTACAAGCCGTCTAATCGTTTTCTCCTGGAGAAAAGAAAAAAAAACCACCACCACTACCACCACCAAAAAGACATCAAACAAAAGAAGGTCCCTCTCTCTCTCTCTCTCTCTTAAGATGCTCACACGATATATTGAAAAGTGCCTCACAAAAATTAATTTCTCTCTCTCTCTCTGGCTGTATATAAGTATAAAAATGTATATAACTATATATATATAAGTATATATAAAAACCTGTTCAATTTTTATCTACTTTAAAAATCAAAGATAAAGAAAGCGAAAGAAAAAAAAGTCTTACCATTCCTTTCAAATTCATATACTAATATTTATCGCGATTCTCAATCAATTCACACTTTAATGTAACCTTAACCTTAGGCCTTTTGTCCCCAATCCAATGTTCTCATTCACAAAACCATCTTCATCTTCTTTTATTGTAATTTAGTGTGATAAGCTCTCTCTCTCTCCCTCTCTCTCTGTCTCCCTCTTCCTAACTGATTATGTGATAATTTCATAAAGCAATCGGACTTTTTATCAAGTGAATCTGGTTCAAGAAAAAGCAAAGAAATTGTCAAATGGTGACCAGGATAAAACCCCAGAAAAATAAGAGGAAGACAAAAAGAAAAAGAAAGAGGAAAAATAAAGTTGTCAAGTGAATACAATGCAAAAGAATAATAAAAAAAAATTATTATCATCAGCATCTTCCATAGGTGAGAAAAGTAAAGCAAAAAAAAAGGAAGATGGAGAAAGTTGAAAAAAGTGAAAAGACTCATTGAACCATTAAGAGTTGAGGAATTGCCAAGGTTATAACATTATCGTGATCAACATCATCATCATAATAATAATCAGAGAGAAAATAAAAGAGAATTAAAAAGAAAACCAAGACGAGAGAGAGAGAAGATGATGAAACTGAATAGTTTTTACCTTTAGCAGCATAACCCTGACCCTCCCTCTTTTATCTTGCATCTTCTTTCTTTCTCATCTCACCTTAAATCTCAAAGTGTTTCTCCTTCTCCCCCACTCTCTTTTCTCTCACCCAGGTAACTTCAAACTCCTTGTAATGCAAAAATATTTTGATCTGTGCCCAATTTCCGGGTTAACATGATAACAACAAACTCATTGGAACGTAAATTGTGTCCATGGTAAACAACAAACATTCATGTTCCCTGTTAAATAGTGTTAATAGTTTAAAGAGTATCCTAAGCAACTATTACAATCAACTATTTCTTAATCTTCCTCTTCTTTTTTTCTTCTCTTTTCTCTATTCTTTTCTAATTTTCCCTAACTCATTGCACCTAAACAAATTTACCTTTTTCTCACCTTTTGTGACAAAGTATTAACACTCTCTCGTCTTCATCTTCATCTTCATTATTATCTCCATCATCTCCCACTTTCTTTTCCATTCAGCTCATATAAACTTTAAAAAGTATCCAAATGTTTAGTTTTGATTGTGAAAATGTATCATAGATGAGAAGAAGAAAAGAAAAAGTTTCTTTTTCTAATAGAAACAGTTTCGTTTCTCTCTCTCTCTCTCCATCCTCATCCTCCTCTTGATCATCCTCATCTCTAATACTATGATATTGTAAACATTCATCTGTATATATATTTGTACAGGGTGAGAGGGGTGTGGGTGGTTAATCAAGTGAAAAAGTTATCCCTGTTTGAGATTTTATTTTGTTTGATATATAATAATGATAATAATCAAACTAAGTGAATTAGAAACTGATTTAAAAATGATTTCAACGATTTAATGTCCATATGACAAATATAACAAGTTAATCAATTCCTCCTTATGTTAACAATTAACCTCACAATCTCCTAACCACAAACCGCTCACAAGGTAACCCAAAGAGAGACTGAAAATAAATCAATTGAATTTGATTTAAACAGTAACAAGAAAGAGGAAAGAAAAAAAATCAAACAATTAACTAATAAACATTTACACCCAAGACACCAAACAATTTATATAAAAGTAAATTAATAGAAAAATATAGATAATCAAGTTAATTGGTGATCAATGTTAAACCAATTTAACCAATCCAACTAATGGAATCAATTTCAATTGTAATGAAAAACATTCAACACTCATGAGAAGCTTAAATGTTACAACAATTAACTTTGATTATGTATTACAAGTTCTTGAAAAAGAAAAGCCTAATGATAAAATTAAAGAGATGATGATAAACTTTCAAGATGAAAGATGATGATGATGATGATGATGAGCCTCAAAGGTATGATAAAAGTTTGCATTATCTTCACTCTCGAGATATTTGTTTTTAGGGTTAGTGTGATGAACTGGCACGATAGAACCTTGAAAAACCCGTTTACCATTGAGAGAGAACCCAAAGCCTAAGAAACAAAAAAGGTAACCAAATAACCAGCACTTCTCATCCAACAGGTAACCTTTTTTTACATGTAACAAGAAAAATTTACCTTATAATCATCATCACCATCATTTTATCAAATGAATACACCGGCGAGTGTGTATAAGCTAAACACCACCCCAAGAAAACCCCACTCTCCTTTTAAAAGTTCACCCAAAGTAAGTTCACCAATATATGTATACAAACAATTTGATTTAATTACCTTGAATCACTAATTTGTTATATTCAACAACATGATTACCTGGTTCAGGTTCAATCAACAAGGAAACTTTTTTTTTAAGGTGTTAAACTTTTTCCATTATATTTTTCTGGTTCCTTTGGGTTATTCATTTGTTTGATAACTTTGTGCTCTCTCTCTCTCTCTCATCTTGTTGATTACAATCAATTTTAATTACCATTAATATTAATAATTGTTACACTTATCATCTGTCCCCAAACACTTATAATGATAATTAACCTTCAACATGATGTATTTAATGGGTAACACAATCAACAATTATTGGACCTGAAAGTGAAAATAATTGGACACTTTAATATTAATCATAAATGAAGGTATGAATTGTTTATTAATAGTAAACCAAGTAAATTTATGTTTAATTGGGTGAATCGTAATCAACTAATCACTTAGTTTAACCTTCCATTGGATGATGATGATGACCCTAATAACATTTAATCGTAACAATTGAAATGTTGATTAATGGCTAAAGTATTTAAATATTATCAATGGATGATACAAATTGTGAAAATCAAAACTAATCCAGTTTCAATATGATTACAATTGATTATTGAATTTATTAAGTAAAACAAAATGTTAACTAGAAAACATTGATTAACAGTTGATTTGAATTTTGTTGGTTAATCACGATTCACACTGTAATATATATCAGATGAATAGATTATCATTATTATTATGATTAACTAATCACTAATGAATAACAATTTGTTTCCAGTGTTATCCTTGATTAATACAAATGATAATAAATCTAAATCAATGTTAAATCATAATAATAATACAACAAATGGTTGATTGTAATCGTAATAACTAAAAAAAAGGTAACAATAATAGTCCAATGTTAATGATTAGGAAAACGGAGAGATCGTGATTTGGATAAATAATAACAAGATAAGTTTACTAGATAAGATGAAGGATGAAGATGATGAAGGGAAGAGAGAGAGAGAGAGAGAGAGAGAGAGAGAGAGAGAGAGAGAGAGAGAGAGAGAGAGAGATGAGGAGAAAAAGAAATAAAAACAAAGAGATTGGGAGAGAGGGAGAAATTATCATCATGAAGACGATTTGAGAGCCACGTCTAAGTTATAAATTGAATTTTATTATTACAATCACATCGACATAAATGAGTACAAAACTGGGAGAGAGCGTGGTGGTTGAGTGAGATTCTGATAAAAATGATGAAATTCAACTGAGAGAGTGTAAAGTGTTATAAGAATAAAAAAGTTCATTTTCAGGGGACAGAGAAAAAAAGTTCTTTTTCTGTTAATGAGAGATAGAGAAAGTGAAAATAAGTTTACAATTGTAACTTTCGTTTCCTTGAATATCTTTTCCTTTTTCATCATTTTCACATTTTCCGCAGGAAAAAAAGTTCATTATCATGGGTAACACTTCACCTTAGGTAATATTTGTTTTTTATTTCTCTTTGACATGAACAAAAAGAAACAACTTGAGGTAAATCGCATTAATGTATCTCAACAATTTCATTGTTTCACAATTTGTTTTCATCATCATTTGGGTGTAAATTATTACCTTTATAATAGTTTCAGGGTGAAAACATAGTTCCCTTTGATGTTTTATTAACAAATCATGTAAATGAATTTAATCTGTTGATGTCTTTTTATTTATTAAACTTTTCGCATTGTTGTTGAATTTAAATTGTAAATTAATTTTCATTCAGCACGTTGAAACTTCATGAATTATCATCTATTGTAAATATAATGAATTTATGTTATAGTTGATGGTCAGTCAACATTTTCTCATTCAATATTTGGCTTGACCTTAACTCTGGTAACGGTAAATTCAAATCTATTGTTTTCCAATGTAAGTTAACTGGTTTTTTTTATATAATAACCTGAATATCAAAATGTAATAAATATAAAAGATGATAATGAATTTCATCCTCCCACACTCATCATCATGATGAATTCATTGAAATCCCTATTGAAAAGTTAACACATTGGATATTATTCCTTGATGGTGATTTTTATTAATATTATTTTCTTTATCACCTAAACTCAATTCTATCATGAAATACAATCAGATCTCATTTTTTCCTTCGGAAAGCTTAATGAGAATCCATTAGGTAACAAAAAGGTATCTTATAAATGTTACCTTGAAAGAGAAAGATGATAATTTCAACCATAATATGATAAGAATGTTGATTATCATCATGAAATGTCATCATCATCATGCTATTCAATTCTAAGATGAAGAGATGAGATGAAATTTTCTTCTTTTTCTTTATTTTTTTTCCTTTCTTTCTCTTTTTATCATAACAGAAAGAAAAGTTTCATTCTTCTTCATATTCTTCATCTTTTTTCATCATCATCACCCACTCCATCTCCCCCTTCAATCAACATCAACAATTCCTCTCCCAGAACTTATTTTTATCATTATGACACTTGAATCTTTACTGTTTCCAAGTGTATTTAGCATTCCCATTAAATCATCACAATGATAATTTCATTTCAATTACAAGATATTCAATAACAAAAAGGACAACAAAAACATCAGCACGTAAACA